GGCCTGTACATGTTGAATGTGTCTGAGAGTCTCCGTTTGCCCACCTGTCACAAACCTTGGTTGAAAGGGTTTCCCTTGAGGCTCTGGTCCGAGCACCCCTGAATGTGGTGACAGAGGTACAAGGCTCAAAGAAGCAAGGGTGCCAATAGCTTGATAGCAGGTGACTGCCATGGTCAAGGATGCAATCAAGGTGAGCCAGGGTCATACAGTGAGACAGCACCGTGGTCAGAAGACAGGCTGTGGTCGGTACCAGGTTAGCAAGCAGAGTGAGGTCCAGTAGCTAGCCAAGGTCAGCACCAGGAGATCAGGCAGAGAATAGTCTGAGGCAAGCCAAGGTCAGCACCAGGAGATCAGGCAGAGAATAGTCTGAGGCAAGCCAAGGTCAGCACCTGGAGATCAGGCACAGAATAGAGGCAAGCCAGGGTCAGCATCAGGAGATCGGGCAAAGAATAGTCTGAGGCAAGCCAGGTTCAGCACCAGGAGATCAGGCGGAGAATAGTCAGAGGCAAGCCAAGGTCAGCACCAGGAGATCAGGCGGAGAATAGTCAGAGGCAAGCCAAAGTCAGCACCAGGAGATCAGGCACAGAATAGTCAGAGGCAAGCCAGGGTCAGCACCTGGAGATCAGGCGGAGAATAGTCAGAGGCAAGCCAGGGTCAGCACCAGGAAATCAGGCGGAGAATAGTCAGGGACAAGCCAGGGTCAGCACCAGGAGATCAGGCGGAGAATAGTCAGGGACAAGCCAGGGTCAGTACCAGGAGATCAGGCGGAGAATAGTCTGAGGCAAGCCAAGGTCAGCACCAGGAGATCAGGCAGAGAATAGACTGAGGCAAGCCAAGGTCAGCACCAGATCAGGAGAACAGTAGTCCAAGGTAAGTCGAGTGATTAATACACAGCAGAGTCTCCTTTAAATAGGCAGCTTGGTGTTAATGCGGGAAGACGTGCGAGCCAATGCGCATTGGAGCATAGAAATGAGCCCACGTGTCAGTGCATGCTGGATGTTAGCCTGGGCTTGTCTGTGTTCTAGTACACGTGCACTTGCATTAGCTGCATGGGAATGAGCAGCAGCTGCACGAGAATTAGCATTAGCTGAAGAAGAATTCACAAGAGCTGCAGAAGAATTATCAGCATTAGCTGCACTAGTTTCCTGACACAACCCCTGCAAATGGGGCTAAATGACATCACTGCTTCCAGGAGAAAGAACTACAGAAGGGATGTGCCAAGACCAGTGGCTGGGGGAATAAGGGGCATAGCAGCCAATGGTCCTACAAACAGGAAAAAACAAAGAGAGTTAATGGTGTGATTTGAAAATGAATCGGCTTTTTCAGAGTGAACCAGAAGATGGAGGACATTATCAGTGAAGGTAGGAAATCAGCAACAAGGACATATTTTTGCCCAGAGATCTGCTGTAAGGTTAAAGGAAGACCACCAATGTAAAAAGGAAACCTGAGGATGTGGATAATAGTGTAGAAATAACAATATATTCATTTGTCCAATTACTTTTGGCCCCTTGTAAAAGGGGGGATGGCTACTCTTAAGAGTTGTAATTCCTAACCCTTCCTCCAATTTGGATGTACATACCCTCAAATGAAACCTGAGAGTGTGCACTGTGTGCCCGTATCCATTATAGAACTAGAGCTGGAATATGTTTTGGTCAATACCTGAAAATGTGCCTGTGTAAAAATATATATGGACCTAACTCTCTCTCTCTCTATATATATATATATATATATATGATTTTGCATTTCTGGGTAGGGGGTGAGTGCGCGTGCCCTACCCACGCCTCCATTGGCAGCTTCAGCTGTCGGTCACCGGGTCCCAGCCAGTGATTCCCTGCTAGCACCCAGCAATCGCTGAGTAGAGGGGTCTGTATCAGGGGCGGACTGACCATTCGAGCACTGCCCGAGGTCAGTAGGGGGCCCCATGAAATGCCCCTGGTACCTTTTTATAGGCTTTTTTTGAGTGTGGGCGAGGACATAGGGGCCCCATGAGTTGTCAGTCCGCCCCTGGACTGTAGGTAAACAATACAGATCTCTCCTCTGTCAGCTTCAGCACGCTGCTTTGTATTGCTCTGCATAGCAGAGCAATAAAAAGCAATGTGCTGACACAGTAAAGCACACACACAGAACACAGTTAACCCTTTAATCACCCCAGATGTTAACCCCTTCCTGCCCAGTGCCATTAGTACAGTGTCAGTGCTTTTACTAGCACTGATCACTGTATTGGTGTCACTGGGGATGTCAGTGGCAGTTAGTCAGTTCCCATCTAGTGTCAGAATGTCCGCCGCCGCTGTGAGGGATCCCAGTATGACCAGAGATGTATGGACTGACACAGGGAAACGCAGGCTTCAAGTATAATGTAAAACAATATAATTTATTAAGACTATACAGTACACACAGTGCAAAACCCAAACCTCCAACAAATCACAATATGTGCGGGAACACAGACGCAGTCAGGCAGGCCGGGTTGGTAACTATCGGTCAGACAAGGTACAAAGGAGCAGGCAGGAGAGTGGTCAGGAATAGCTGGGGTCAGTGCAGGGAGAGTTCTAGCAGAGTCACGATCAGGCAGGAATATCAGACAGGAAGCAGACAGGATGCAGGTACAGGGGCTCATGGGAACAAACACCAAGGCACTGACTGCAGGCCTGGCCATTGCTTAACCACTTGCCGTCCGCCTGCTGTTCATAAACGACACCCGCCTTTTCTAGCTGTGCGCGCTCCTTGGGAGCACGCAGCACCGCGATCTGGTGCCCGCTGTGTCCTCCGGACACAGTGAAACACCGATCGTCGGACGGGACCTCTGTATGAGGTCTCGATCATGTGATCACTGATTGGTCAATCAGTGATCACATGCAAAGTAGTAAGCAAGATGTCACTTGTGACATCATTGCTTACTACGTGTGAAATCTGTGAATGATCACAAATGTCACATGGTACAAGGCTATTCACAACAGCCTTGTACCATGTGACAAGGTGTGACCAATCACAGCTCACTCAGTACTTCTCAATGAATGCAAGAATGCAGACAGAGAGAAAGAGAAATGATTGCTTTTACATCCTATATGGGTGTAAAAGCAATCACTGTAAAAAAAAAAAAAAAAAAAAAAAAATCTTCATCACCCCCCACAAGTAGTACAGTGTCACCATGGTGACACTGTACTGCTAGGGTGACAGTATGTAAAAAAATAAAAAAAATTAAATAATATAAAAAAAATAATATAAAAAAATAAAATAAAAATGTAAAAAAAAAGTTAAAAAATTATAATTTTTGGTTATAAACTAATTTGGCTTATTTTGTTTTTACTAAAAATATAACGGAATACATTTTGGTCAATATTTATGATGAAAAATTATTTATTTGCAAAATAAAACACTTTTTTTCAAAATGTTTTGACTTTTTCATTTACATAGCAAAAAGAATAAAAATCCCAGCGGTGAATAAATACCACCAAAATAAAGCTTTATCTGTCTCAAAAAAATGGTAAAAAATTCATATGGGTACAGTATTGCATGACCGCGCAATTGTCATTCAAAGTGTGATAGCGCTGAAAGCTGAAAATTGCCCTGGACAGGAAGGGGGTAAAAGTGTCCGGTCTGGAAGTGGTTAAATACACCTCCTGCAATCAGCCTCAGGTGATGGCTTGACTACAGGAATGAGATTCTGGCTGCTGAGAGCACCCACTGGCCAGCACTGGTACTGCAGCCCACAAGGCAGGTGAGCCCCAGCACCACCTGTGGCGAGTCCATTCCTGACAGCCGCAGTCCCACTATAAGTCGCTGATCACCGCCATTTCTAGTATATATATATCCCAGTATCTATACCGCCATTTGCAGACGCTAGAACGTTCACATAAAACCAATTATTTACACGTATTGGGATTTTTTGAGCAGAATACATTATGGCCTAAATTTATGGCGAAAGTTGATTTAAAAATTTTGTACTGGATATGTTTTATAGCAAAAAGTCCAAAATATTGTTTTTTTCTCAAAATTGTCAGTCTTTTTTATAGCACAAAAAATAAAAAATGCACAGGCGATCAAATACCGCCGAAAGATAGCTCTGCTTGTGGGGGGAAAAAAAAAGGACATAAATTTCATCTGGGTGCATGACCGCGCAATTGTCAGCGCCGTATCGCAAAGAACGGCCTGGTCAGGAAGGGGGGTAAATCCTCTGGACGGTAAGGGGTTAATAAATGCAGCTGCAGGATGGCGGGATGGCGTTTACAGGCGACACATCACCTCCTCACCATCTTTCCAGTGCCTCTGAAGCGCGATCCTCTATCATATTGCTTTTTAGGATGATGGCACACGGTTACCTCAGGAATGAACTAGCCCTTGCACCATCGCTCGGGGTGCCCATCATGTCTAATTGCACAGTCCTCAAATTATTGGGGAGGGGTTTGCCTTGTATTCCATATAACACGCCCTTTATACATTGTTACAGCTCAGGTGTCACTTGAAACGTAAAAAATAAAAATAATTATCACCAAAAAGGTCATTAGAAGAAATAAAACTGCCATTGTTACCATTCTAATGCTGGCCCAGCTCTATCAGCTGACACGGTCGCCCTGAACCTCTCCTCAGCTGACACCTCTCCCCTGACAGAACCTCTCTCCTCAGGCGCTTCCCGCCCTCACTCCTGGACCACGTGACCCCCCCCCCCAGCGCTTTATCAGCTACCTGCACACCTCTCACCCTCCCGCTTTTTTATGTCCCTCCATAGATGAGATGCAGGGGGCGGGCCCGCTGACGTCACGTCTCTCGCTTTGCCTGAAAATGACGGTTCTCGTTTCTTTTCCTTGGGCTCTCGGCTAGCTGTCATTGCGGAGATGAGGGGGGCTCGTCTGACAGTCGGCTCCTGATTGGTCTATAAGCGATAAGGCCAACGCTCGCTCGGCGCTGATTGGCAGGCGGGGACGCCCGTCGGTGGTGGGAGGGGAGGAGCCTGGTGTGACAATGAAAACTGAGAGACTGGGAGCGGAGGAGAGGCAGAGGTGAGCAGAGGGAGCGGGGAGGAGGACCAGCAGCACCTGCATCATCATCATCATCTCATCATCATCACTGGGGGCATCCTCATCATCATCATCCTCCTACACAGGACAATCAGGGGGCACCAACCACTGCACAGGTATGTCCATCTTCTATGGATTAGTCATCCTTCCAGTGCTGGAATCTGATCACCCCCTTATGTCTGATCTGTATATATACTATATCATGGTACTTATCACATTACTATTCCCATTGAATGCGAAAATCATGCCTACTGCTCTTCTTCCTTTGTGACCCATCGATCTATCGATCTACCTATCTACCTATCTATCTATCTATCTATCTATCTATCTATCTATCTATCTATCTATCCATCTATCTATCTATCTATCTATCTATCTATCTATCTAATTAGAATTATTATTCATAATTTATTAATTTTTATTATATACTAAAGAACTCCACTGTTGTTTGTGCTTAATTCAATGTATATATATATATATATATATATATATATATATTATACACACACACATATATATATATATACATTAGTACATGTTACGATTATTATATTCTCGTCATTGTTAATGATAATATTTTTGTTATTATTATTGTCATTGAATGCTAAAATAATGTAATTTGCTGTTCTTCTATTCTACCTAATCTATATACACACTATTTCTTCAAAAGTATTGGGCCGGCCCTCCAAATCATGTGATTCAGGTGTTCCAATCACCTCCATGGACACAGGTGTATACAATCAAGCCCCTAGGCATGCAAACGGCTTCTACAAACATTGGTGAAAGAATGGGGTCGCTCTCAGGAGCTCAGTGACTCCAAGCGTGGTCCCGTGATAGGTTGTCACCTGTACAATAAGTCCATCCGTGACATTTCCTGGCTACTAAATATTCTACGCTCAACTGTTAGTGTGATTATAACAAAGTGGAAGCAACTGGGAACAACAGCAACTCAGCCACCAAGTGGTAGGCCACGTCACATGACAGGGCGGGTTCAGCGCATGCTGAAGCGCACAGTGCGCAGAAATCTTCTGCACAGTCAATAGCTAAAGACCTCCAAACTTGGTGTGGCCTTCAGATGAGCGCAACAACAGTGCGTAGAGAGCTTCATGGAATGGGTTCCATGGCCGAGCAGCTGCATCCAAGCCTTACATCACCAAGTGCAATGCAAAGTGTCGTATGCAGTGGTGTAAAGCACACCGCCACTGGACTCTAGAGCAGCAGAGATGTGTTCTCTGGATTGACAAATCATGTTTCTCTGTCTGGCAATCTGATGGACATGTCTGGGTTTGGTGGTTGCCAGGAGAACGTACTTGCCTGACTGCATTGTGCCAAGTGTAAAGTTTGGTGGAGGGGGATTATGGTGTAGGGGTGTTTTTCAGGGGTTGGGCTTGGCCCCCTAGTTCCAGTGAAGGGAACTCTTAAGGCATCAGCATACCAAGACATTTTGGACAATTTCATGTTCCCGACTTTGTGGGAAGAGTTTGGGAATGGCCCCTTCCTGTTCCAACATGACTGCCCACCATTGCACAAAGCAAGGTCCATAAAGACATGGGGTCCTGACCTAAACCCGACAGAACAGCTTTGGGATGAATTACAGCGGAGACTGTGATCCAGGCCTCCTACCCCAACATCAGTGCCTGACCTGACCAATGCGCTTCTGGAAGAATGGTCCAACCTTCCCATAGACACCCTCCTAAACCTTGTGTCCAGCCTTCCCAGAAGAGTTGAAGCTGTTATAGCTGCAAAGGGCAGGGCCAACTCAATATTGAACCCTACGGACTAAGACTGGGAGGCCATTAAAGTTCATGTGCATGGAAAGGCATGAAGTCCAATACTTTTGGCAACATAGTGTATATATATATGTGTGTGTGTGTATCACGATATGTATTATTATTATCATTATTAATGTATTATTATTATTTTCATACTAAAATACTAAGGGCCAGTTCCTACCACATGCAGTCCAGTGCGTTTTTTTTTTCTGCATCAAAAATGCATGGAAAGTAGGTTATATGGTTTCCATTCGCAAAGCTCACATCAGTGTAGTAAGTTCCGGTGCATTCCAGTTCCAGGGGGGAAAAAAGCAGAACATGCTGCATTTTTTTCTGCACTGACCTGTAATGCGGCAAAATGCATCAAAAAAACACACCAGAATGCACCTAAAATGCACCGGAACGCACATGTCCTTATTAGAGGCCTTTGTACACCACATACAGTCCCATGTGTTTTTTTTTCTATATAAAAAATGTAGGGGGCCCCATGAGATTCCCCTGGTACCTTTTTCATAGGCTTTTTTGAGTTTGGGCCCCATGATCCCCTATTGCCCGGGGGCCCCATGAGTTGTCAGTCCGTCCCTGGATGTGATTATTATATTGTTACTATTATTATAACTATTGAATATTAAAATAATATCATCTATTAGACTTGAAATCTAATGGGACATGGTGTAAGGCTAGGTTCACATCCGTGCGGGGTGGTGCTGCTGCGGATCCGCGCAAAAATCCGTACAGCCGCACCACCCGCACAGAGAAATGCGGACAGGCGGGTGCTGTTAATTCTAATGGCACGCCACCCGCACTGGTAAATGCAACCGTACTGGGAACCGAGGTTCCCATGCGGGCTGTGTTTTCAGAAGAAATGCAGGGACTTCTTCCCTGCGTGTCATGGGACACAGGAGTCCATTAAAATAAATGTGCTCTCGTGCCCATGCAAAACACGGCCCGCACGGCCGCATATATGTGAACCGGGGCTAAAAGCAGTATTAAATTCGCAAGCAAACATTTATTATATTGCAGCTTATCAGTTCTTAGATGTGTTGGCAGCATTTGTTTTCTTTTGTAGACTTTCTTTCCTCTATTTTCATCTGGTGATCCAGCCAGTAAGTCTGTGGTGTTTCAGAAGGTCAGGCTCTCCAGCAGAATGTATCAGTTTACATGGATGAGCCAGACTATTCAACACTGATAGGGGTGATTAAAATGAATATGTTTTATTTATTCACGTAAAACCTTTATCCCAAAAAGGAAAAAACTGTTTGCTGTAACTGATTATAAAGTGTGAGCTGGAGTTTGGCTTCAATATGTTTTTGTATTTAAATCTGCTAATACATTTAATGCTCCCCTCCCCCCCCAGACTGACAATTCTGCTGTCTGCTTGTCCTGTACTCATCCCTCCATGTGGAAGAAGGTGCTCTGCAATTTAACTTTTTGGTCTAAAAGCAAATGCTATGTGTGGTGGAAAACTAACACTGCACATTACCCTGAACACACCATCCCCACTGTGAAACATGGTGATGGCAGCATCATGTGGTGGGGATGCTTTTCTTCAGCAGGGACAGGAAAGCTGGTCAGAGTTGATGGGAAGATGGATGGAGCCAAATACAGGGCAATCTTAGAAGAAAACCTGTGAGAGTCTGCAAAAGACTTGAGACTGGGGCGGAGGTTCCCCTTCCAGCAGGACAATGCCCCAAAACATACAGCCAGAGCTACAATGGAATGATTTAGATCAAAGCATATTCATGTGTTAGAATGGCCCAGACAAAGTCCAGACCTACAGTATCTCACAGAAGTGAGTCCACCCCTCACATTTTTGTAAATGTTTGATTCTATCTTTTCATGTGACAACACTGAAGAAATGACACTTTGCTACAATGTGACGTAGCGAGTGTACAGTTTGCATAACAGTGTAAATGTGTCAAAATAACTCAACACACAGCCATTAATGTCTAAATCGCTGGCAACAAAAGTTGCATATTTGAACCTACAGACAACATACACTTTTCTCACCCACTCAACCCACAGCAATATAGAAGACCACAGCATGACTCACTTTATGTGATGACTTCAAGGTCTCCAGTTTCTATTTCAGTTCTAGAAATGAATAGCAGTGGCTGTGGTATAGCATCACGTAGTACAGGCCCCTGACACTGAATCACGCCATGTGGGGACGTGAATGTACACATGGCTTCTGCTGGGGGGGAGCAGAAAGAGAATAAAAACCACAATGTACTATTTCTCTGTGTTTCTACCGTAGATATAAAAAGAATTATCATACACCATCTAATATGAAGGCTTGGCCCATGTGTCGGGTATCAGGAGTACAAGGCTGTTTTCCAAGTGATTTTGTCCAGTTGGACCACCAAACCTCCTGAAATGGCCAATGTGGTGACATTCCTTCCTAGGAACAGAGATCAGATCTTAGTGGTAGCACATGTCTTTATAGTATTAATGGCTGGTAAGCTGATTACCACTGCAGCATCTCAAATGGATTGTACTGCAGCTTGTGGTCAGGAGGGCTTTTCAGCTACTCTAGCTATTATGAAGCTAGGTGCTTCAGCTGCCGTGGTCTGATCCTTGTCTAGCTCAATCCATTTAGCTCTGACCTTAGAAATTCTGCTAATCTGACTTTGTACTTATGTGACCTTCTGATACAGATAGTTTTAGATCTATATTTCCTAAGGCAGAAATGGACAAATCCTAGGGCCAAGGTAGCCACCATGCTTGAAATCATGCACCTGTTATCTAGCTTTTTCAAGGCCTTTCTGTTGTTATTGGAAGATCCAGTTAAAGTCCTTGATGTCACCTAAATTGGACTGAATTATACATTCATCCAACTGATTTAGGAGTGCTTTCAAAATGCTGTAACACTAAGTTCCCTAAGCTGTGATGGCCACCATTGGTGAGTTGGGTTCATGGAAAGCCTTGCAGTTCACAAGGAAATTGTGCAGCTGCCCCCCATCCTCCTTATTAAGAGGTAATGTCACTACCATGCTGGTTTAAGATGTACAAGGGTTGGAGGAGTGAGAGTGTAAATTACATTCCTACATTCAAATATCTTGAATGTCAGATATACAGATATGTCAGATATACAGAAGTGAGTACACCCCTCACATTTTTGTAAATATTTGATTCTATCTTTTCATGTGACAACACTGAAGAAATGACACTTTGCTACAATGTGACGTAGTCAGTGTACAGCTTGTATAACATGTAAATTTGCTGTCCCCTCAAAATAACTCAAAACACAGCCATTTATGTCTAAACCGCTGGCAACAAAAGTGAGTCCACCCCTAAGTGACAACATCCAAATTGGGCCCAAAGTGTCAATATTTTGTGTGGCC